CCGCTCGTGCCTTCGGCAGCTATGACGAGCTGATGACCGAGACGCTCAAGACTGCTGAAACCATCGCCGGCTACTCCAAGGTTGCCGTCCAGGGCTGCAAGGAGGTTGTGAACAAGAGCCAGGATCTCGCCCTGCGCGACGGAGTCGAGTACGAGAGGCGGGTTTTCCACGGCATCTTTGGAAGCCAGGACCAGAAGATTGGCATGAAGGCGTTTGCGGAGAAACAGAAGCCGACGTGGTCACACGAGTAGAACACTCCCGGATAGAGAATCTGATGGAAATAAATTGCAGAATCAAGACAAAGTGCTGCCAGTGCCTTACAGGCAAGAAGCCTATGTGAGACTTGTGTGCTTAGAATAACGTCATGTCAGCACCATTCTGGGCCTGGTGAGACGACAGCCGCTTGCCAGCCCTGATCGTTGCGCTCGTCTACGTTCGAGTCGGCAACACTCGTAGGAGCATGACATCAGCTCCACGAGCTATGCTGATGGACGCAAGGATGATGCCAGCGGAGCGGCTGGAAGCAACTGGAGCTCTAGCGGGGTATAATCGCCATGCTGAGCTTGAAGACGGCGATTTATTGCTGTCCTAGCTATGGTCCAGCTCAGCAACTGCCCACCCGCTCCCTCAAGATTATCTTCTTCGTGAGGCCAAGGCGCCACCATGCACGCAACCTTGGCCCGTCGGGTGGCCAATACGAGATCTTGCGGTGGGCTTCTTGCCAGCACCCGTCCAGGATGCCCCAAGCAACGTCAGGCACACTCGGGCCGCCCGCTGCAAGACCCAGCAGGTCTGACACCCGGTTCGCAGCCTTAAGGCAGGCGCCCGACACCGTGTTCTACCCCACTGCTGCACCACCACACGGGGAAGCTGATCGCGAGCAGCCCTCCAAGTCACCGCCATACTCACTTCTCAACATCACCAAGACTGCATAAAACCGGACAGATCCGACCACAGTAATTGGTGCCACCCAAGCCTTCTCTGGTGCATGGTCTGGCACAGCCCTCCTGGTTTGACTGCACCCGCCTGCGATGGACACAGACCTCGAGAAGGAGTTGACATGCTCAGTAAGTACCGCCGCAAGACCTTCCGCGATTTGCTCCGCTCCTCGTACTGACCCGAACCCCCACCACCGCACTTTGTAGATCTGCACCGAGATTCTCTACCAGCCCTTGACGCTGCTTGACTGCCTACATACGTTCTGTGGCTCCTGTGTCAAAGACTGGTTCGGCTGGCAGCTCGCCAATGCCGAGTCCTCGCCAAACAGGAGCACCCGTCGCAGAGCGGACATCTTCACCTGCCCGTCATGTCGAGCTTCGGTGCGAGACACCCGGCACAGCGCCACCTTTGCGACGCTGATCGACATGTTCCTGTCCGCCAACCCGGACAAGGCCAAGTCGGACCAGGACAAGGAGGAGATGCGTGCCAAGTACAAACCTGGCGATAATGTCTTGCCGAAACCCCGTACAGACGAGAGGTCGCCCGAGGACCGCAGAGCTGAGGAGATGGAGAGGCGCATGCTGGAGCAGGCGCGCGAGCTTAGTCTGCAAGAGGCGGGTGTGAGAGAGTCGTCGGAACAGCGACGCACGAGGAGGCGCCATGACACGGGTACATCCGAAGACTCGCGCTCCCGTTCTGGCCGGGACACCAGCAGGGACACCAGGGGCGTTGGTGGCCGGGATAGAAGCAGCAGGCCTGAGGGACGAAGACCCCGGACAGACTCCGGGAACATGCTGCATCCTGATGGCTCTTCGGATGAGCGACGGCGTCGTCGCAGTGAATCGCAGCAGCGGTCACGTGCTTCCTCCACGACCGAGAGGAGGGCCGTGGAGCATCAAGCTTCCATCAGGTCCCTGATCAGTTCATCAGATGTCGACTCTAGGGATCTGGAGAGAGAAATCGAAGATTTTGCTCGTCACATCCAGGAAGAAGGACTGTTGGATGGGCTTGATCTCGACAACCTCGATATAACGCAGAATGACGAGCTCAGCCGTAAGGTCACTGAGGCATACCGGAGGCGGCAGAGGGAGCGCTCTCGTCAGGAGCACCCGAGGAGGAATACTGCTGGCGCGCGGTCCGACGTAGCTGTGGTCGGATCTCGGCCCCCAGCAATGGACAACATCCGCCAGAGTAGCAGGCAGAGATCCGGTTCTGCTAACGAAAGGCCGAGTACTGCTTCATCACGGCACGAAGATAGAGCCCGGCCACCACTTGCAAGTGCGCATCTCGAAGTCCACGGCGATAGTGAGAGGCGGCGACGGCGCAGGAACTCGAGCGGAGCAAGAAGTGCGACCGACCCGGTTCCACCCCGCGAGCATGACGTGAGGCCCGCAGCGAGATCGTCAACAGATTTGACCGCAACCTCACGAGGTTCGGATCCGATAGTCCAGCGGCCAGTATTTGCCGACAACCGTGCAAACAGTCTGCCCTCTACTCAGCCATCCTCCTCAAGTCAAGGTGCTAGCTTCAGTATGCGCGCATCTGCAGCTCAACAATCTGCCGCACAGCAAACGCCTTCTGCCAACGCGCCAGTTTCGAACGACCCATTCACACTAGCAGCCGTCACCTCAGCAGCCGAGCTCACCGACAATAAGAGTGGACAGGCACGCCGCGCACAACGGCCCACGGACATCTCTATAGTCCCTCAGAACCCTCTCCCCAGCCTAGGGCTCCTCCAATCACCAGTGAGGCAGGGCCATCAGCGGACAAGGTCCCAATACTATAATGAGCCTTCAATCACCTGCTCACGCTGCTCGAAACCACACATCGAATATGATCTCCACTACAATTGTTCCAAGTGCTCTGGCGGCAATTGGAACATCTGCGTGGACTGTTACAGGACGGGAAAAGGCTGTCTACACTGGTTTGGCTTTGGCTATACAGCCTTCAAGAGATGGGAGCAAGCACAAGCTGCTGCGGGTGGCGAGCACTTTGACCCCCCTCACATGCTCACGTCGAACAGATACCGGCCACCACGAGCCGTCCCCGGAGGCGCTGATGGTCGCCGCACGATGACGACTGAAGACCCGGCCGCGCGCTTCGAAAGTGGCATGTTTTGCGCGCGCTGCTTGACGTGGTCGAACGAATGTTTCTGGCGCTGCGACTCCTGCAATGAGGGTGACTGGGGTTTCTGTAACAACTGTGTCAACCAGGGCTTCAGTTGTACACATCCACTGCTCCCACTAAGCTACGTGAAGCCTGCGTCTGGAAACTCGCAATCTCCTCCGGGTACACCTCCGAGGTCTCCAAGGCGACCGCTGTCCGCCACGCTGTTCACTGGACCCAATGCTCTCAGTATTGGCAACTTCAAACCCCTCACGTTCACAACAACCTGCGATATCTGCAGAGACCCCATCGCCCCGACACAAAGCCGTCACCACTGCTTCTCGTGCACTAGCACTGTCGTGCCGGATACACAGCCTGGCGACTACGACATCTGCGTGGAGTGCCACCACCGCCTGGTGCGTGAGGGGCGGATCTCGGAAGAGAACGGTCCATTGGGTTGGAGGCGGTGTCTCCAAGGTCACCGCATGGCTGCCATCGGCTTTGAGGAAAGTCGTGGTGCCCAGCGTCGTGTCGTGACCAGAGATATCGTAGGAGGCAGAGACCTCAAAGTCGAGCAGGTGCGCGGACCAGATGGTGCCAGCCTGCAGAAGTGGAGGTGGATGAGCTCCAACGGCAAGACGAGAGTCGAGAGGCTGGTCACCTGCGACGTCGCCGCGACAGCCCCGCCGCTCTCGAATGGCAGCAACGCAGCAGCTGCGGCGTCCGACACGTTCCCTCCAGACGGGGGCGTGGGTCAGCGAGCTGTGGCGGGATGGTCGTGGTATCCGGCACAAAAGGCAGAGGACGAGCTCATGTTCCCTCGAGGCGCGGAACTTCGCGAGGTTCAGGATATCAACGGGGATTGGTATTCCGGGAGCTACATGGGGGTGGTCGGGTTGATACCGTCACCATTCGTCAAGATTGTAGAGTCTTGATAGAACATATCTTGTATATAGAAAAGAACCTATTAGTGTTGAGCTCACAGATTTGTGAAGTGATCGTTCTTGCAAGTCTGCCAGGCATCTATCTGAGAGTGGCTGATGATATAACATAAGAGGGGTAAGGATTACAGGCTATTATCATGATATTTAAAGGCCAGCCTCACCTGACCATGGTCTTCCTGAGGGTGGTGTACTTTGCTGCGAGTGATCCCCGATATGAACGAGGCGTTTCAAGAAAATTGCAGTGGGAAGAGCCAACCACTGCACATCTCTTATTTTTGTCCAGGTCAAGAACACAGGCTCAATACGAGGCTGGGAACCTTGGAGATGTCATCCACATCGTCGCTGAACCATAGGCCCGGAGGCCAATTGGGAGGCAGTATGTGCGAGGAACTCAGCGCTGATTCAACTCCGGCATAGAAAACCCAGTGCTCTATCTTACGAGATGGCGATCACTTAGGAAAGTGGTTTAAAAATAAATAAAATAAAGCGCACCTACAATGGGGTAGTAGTTTCGGAGAACAAAGGTGTTTACAATGTCAATGTACAGAAATATACAATTAACAAAGTCCACTACTACTACATCGGCCGTGTTGTTTTCCTCGGGAAGTCGCGCTTACATGGTTTGGCCAACCCGACTCGATTCCGAACTTCTGGACTTCTGGATGAAAACATGCTGGCCGAGCGATCTAGCCTCAGAATATGCAGGGTTAAGTCTTCGCAGTCTCAGGAGGGGGGGGGGGGGGCGCAAAGAAACGGAATCACCGCCAGCGTAGCAAAAAGTACATTGCTAACGTGGTAGTATACTTTCCAGAAGGAAACGTGTAAGTCGGGAACACCCCAACGAGAGGCTAAGAAGTGGAGTTTTAGAAAAAAAATTTCAAAATTTAATGGGACAAAAACGACCTTCGTAGCTCAGATGTTAGGAAAGACAATGTGAATAACATCAAATTTAAACAGAATTCACCTAGATATTTGTATCTCTAGGTGAGAGAGGCAAAAACAAAAGATGCATACTAGCGCCGTGGATCGAACACGGAACCTTCTCGGATCTTTGTTCAAACAATGTGAACGAGAAATCATAACCATTAGACCACGCCAGCTTTTTTCATGCTTGTTGTTGAGAAGCTGAAGCCGTATCAGGCTACAATACCACGCACTACAAACATCAGAAGAAAGAAGAGTGCTCGTGATGTTTGCTCGACATTGGACGCCGTCATCGTCTTGCAGTGAGGGCTGACAGGGGCGGCTTTGGGGATCGTAAGGTGCTACTATGTACTATGGCTTCTGCCTGGGTGGGGCAGGCGTCAAGACAGGTGTCTGAGTACGTTGGAGTCCTGTGTTGTGGTTCGTCTAGTGAGGTTGTCCTCGTCATGTATTTTTGGGAGATTTCCAATGTTGTTAATTCACTGTGACGGGCAGAGCCGTCTGTATCTGAATACCGTCCTTTTCCTTCTCCCTTTGCTTAGTAGACCATTCTGTTGAACATGTTCAGATTCAACCAAAATCTACGTGCCCTTCTGAATCATTCCCAGGCGACTTACGCAACGAGCAGCATCCGGACATACACGTCGTGGTTGCATCAGTGTATTGGCAGTTACCAGCTCGGAATGCTTTTTTTGTGCAGTGCTTTGAAACTCCGATCTGAGCAAAGAAGATCCTCTTTTTAGTCCAACCACTCCTGCTTCTTGTCGGGATTCTTCTGCAATATTGTCGAGATACATATCTGAAATCCGAAGTCCGCACGAAGGAACCATGGACGTCGGGAAAATGCGGAAACGGTCCGCAGTATTGATAAACTGCGGCTACTCCAACGTCCTGCAGTTGGTGAGAGCACTGCGACTGATGAGAATCTCTCTTACTCAGGGTTATAGTACCTTGCGCTCGAATGGAGGCAATTGTACTTATCGAAACCAATGCCCCCGATGCTACGCAGTACTGTTTGATTGTTTGCAGCCCCACGAGAGGTGCGTTTGGAGGACGATGAGATGCGCGGGGCACTTCCGTCCAGGGAATCAAGAGCCCCTCACTATTAAGCTCCTCCCCTGGGAGAGCTTCTGGGTCCGCATGAGCTCCATGCTTTGCGAAGCACACCTCTACGTCACACAGGACCGCCTCTCTGGTCTCACGCAGCTGTCTCGAAGCAGCACACGCAGCAACGCAGCAAAACATCATCACTCGACAGCAACCACCCATACTCTGCTTCTGCATCCATTCCAAGCTGTCTCTGCCCACCATGGCATCCCCACCGACGACAATGCCACCACACATAAGCTCACCGTACGAGCCGTACCCATCGCCAGCGCACCTCGAACAGGCGACAACCTCGCACCGGCAGGGCAACTTTACAATCTCGACGCGGAAGCTGCCCATCTCCAAGGCCGGGCCGATCGAGCAGCTCGAGAAGGACCTCGGGATCCCCATCCCCGAGATGATCTTTGGGGACAACCTGGTGGCCATTACGCACGACAGAGGAGGGCAGCAGTGGCGCATAGAATTCAACGCGCGCGATGCGCTGGACCTTGTCGACAAGACGGACCGCAACATGCTGCAGGTCGCGTACGCGCGCAGCTGGAGTGCCAGCAGGGAGCAGACGAGCGCGGGGATCAAGGAGGTCGTGAAGCCGTATGACTGGAGCTACACGACTGCTTACAGGGGGACTGTGACGACGAGCGGTAGTGGCAGTGATACGAATGGCAGGACCGCCGCCGCGGCTGCCGCCGCTGAAAGCAATACCGACGGCCAGCAAACGGTCCCGGCTTCGACAGTTGACACATCATCATCGTCATCGCAAGTACCATCCTTCTCAGAAAAGGACGCCCCGCCGATCCCGATCGAGCTCCTCAAGCGGCGCGACCCGATTCTCTTCTTCGACGACGTCGTCCTATACGAGTCGGAGCTCGACGACAACGGCATCAGCATGTACTCTGTCAAGCTCCGCGTGCACGCGCAGCGGATGCTCCTGCTCGCGCGGCTGTTCATGCGGCTCGACAACGTCCTCGTGCGGGTGCGCGACACGCGGGTGTACGTGGACTTTGGAGAGGAGGTGGTCGTGCGTGAGTATACCGAGAGGGAGGCTGAGTTTGGTGATGTGAAGAGGGTAGGTTTCTTGCCGTTTTCTCTGCGTTTTGATGTGCCCGAGACTTTTTCCCCTCTGCTCAAGATGGACATGGCCTACTACTTCCCCATTGCGCACTCCGGAATCCTCGAAGGGGAAGAATGTGTGAATCAAGTTTTTGCTGACATCAACATGGACAGGCTCTGCTGATGACGGGCCTTCGGCCAGACGACCTCACCGTCGCCCTCCGCGATGCGAACCAGATCGCTGAGCTCATCCCAAAGACGCACGAGGTTCGCGAGGCCGTTTGCTTGAGGGCTTGAAAGGGATATCCATTCTTCCCAGCTGAACAAGGCCGTACAAGGCTTACGTTCTAACGTCAGTTTTGCAGACGGTGGATGGCGGCATGGGATAGTCCAGGCAGTCGAGTTTTATGTTTGTTAGAGGGTACCATTGCATGGCCACGGCGTTTCGGTAGATTCTGGTTCCTTTCATCCGCACAACTACAGTTGACTCTTTCTGCTGCTCACGCGTGGAATGGTAGTTCAACCATCTGTTTCTGTTGTGTTAGACTGCGACCACTTGAATCAGCACATCACCGCTCATGAGGGACTGGTTTGATCCGCGAGTGAGGCCCGGCACAGCTGACAGCGCCGGGAGACAAGGCGTTCCTTCAAAAGGCGAGGTGAGGAGCAAGACTTGGACTGCCATTAGCACCAAGATTGGGTCGCCAAGTTGCCAGAGCCTGGCTATCATGGAGCACATCCATCCTCGGTTCCAGTATCGGCCAAGAAGGCAAAGCGCCTCACAAAACACCTGTTTGCCCAATCTCGCTACCTGTCGATCATCGCAGCCAGCTCTCGCAGCCATGCGGCCTTCTTCTCCGACAACAGAATTATGCGCAAGCTCCGGTTCAAATTCAGGCCGGGCATCGAGGTATAGAGAGGGCCGCATTGGCTCACATCATGTTGGAGATGCTAGGCTGAGAAATGAATGACGAGCAAGTATGCAACTTTAGTAAGACAACATGTTGTTGCGTCATCATAAATGTGAATAATGGTAACTAGGCTCATGAAAGCAGAACGGGACAAACAAGTCCAGCATCGCCACCCTTGTGGTCTTTCGTATCTCGTCCTTCGCCCACCTCAGTCTCAAGACCGACGGCCTTCCCCTCACAGTACTTGCCACGGCACGACCCAGAACAGCACCTCATCGCGCGCCCTTGGGCGAGCTCGTGAGGATGGCCTCCTCGTACTCGAGAGACCACTTGTCGACTTCCTGGAACTTGCGCGCCGCCTGCTTAAGCTCCTCGCCCATCCGCTCCACCATCACCTGACTGTCCTCTCCGACCACATCGTCGTTCGTAGGGAGTTCCTGCTCGGCAGTCTCCACGTTCTCTCCATCCTCGGCTTCCTCCTCGTTCTCCTTGTCCGAGAGTCGCCCGTACGTCCGTGTAGACTTGCGTGTAGCCGCGGCATTGTTGTTATTCTGTTTACGACGATTGGAAGCAGCGGTATTGCTGAGCTGATTGCGGGCTGCACCGCGCGCGGGGCGTCTGCGAGCACGGACATCAAGATGCGTCAACTCGTCATCGTCGTCGCCGAGTCCTGAGAGGTCAACCTGCTCGTCGTCCGAGTCATCCGCTACCCGAGCATTCCTCTGGCGCCGGCGAGGAAGAAGTCCCGTGAGAGCCGCCGTAGTGGGCGGCTCCTTGCGCTTCGCCGCTCGTCCGGACTGCTGTCTTGTCGGCGCAGGTGATGAACCATCCGCGTAGTTTGGCGAATGGGTCAAAGACGGCGGCGATGACAGGTCTGACATACTGTCGACCCGTGTCGGTGTCCTCCTAAGCGCAGGTCGCCGTGTGCGGCCCTTGGTCAGGGGTCGTACAGGTGGCCAGGCGTTGTCCTCGCCTTCGGATGAGTCGGTGCTCAGTGGGGGCGCCATCAGCTCCTCGTCCATGACTGGCGTGGACGGAAGGCCAGGTGCGCTTGGCCGATCTGGCGTACTTTGCCTCCCCCGCGTCGTCTGTGGCATTGGCGGCAACGAGGGTTCTTCACCTTCCAACTCAGACAACTCTGAATCTGAGGGCTCAGCCTGCTCCGCAGTGCGACCCCGTGTGATGGCGGGTGACGAGCGTTGCCTCTGCTCATGTCCTTCTGTCGATTTCCTCTTCCGGGACTCTCTAGGCTCGTTCGCAGGCTCCGTTGGAACCCCCTGCCCAGACTGTCTCTTTGTCTTCTTGAACGGTGTTGACTCAGCCTCCGGCGCCGAATCGTCGTCGTCGTTGTCATCGTCCCCAAGGCCTCTCTCGAGATCGGACTCAATGTCACGCGATGCTTGGCGTACCCTGGACTTCTGAGCTGTGCCAAGGATACTGGGTTCTCTTGCCCGGCGCTTGAAGTTGCCAATGTTGAAGGTCGAGCTGAGCCCAGGGGTGTTCGGGCCTGCTCTGCTGCTTGGCCGGATAGGGCCATCGTCACGGCTTAGGAAACTGCCCGCCCTCGGTCTGCGCTTGAAGTGGCTTGCGGTGATTGTGGACGAGTCCTTGAGTCTGCTTGTGCTAGCGGGGCCGGCGCTGGCCGGCTCGATAGTGTTGTAGGTTGTGTTGATATCGTCAAACATGCTGTCGTCTAAGTCGAGGCCTGTAATGTCTGCCAGCCTCCCCTGAAGCGGTGTCGCGGCTTCCTCGCGCCGAGACATCTCGAGAGATGCGTCTGATCTGTCGAGGGCGGCATCGCCGTCCTTACCGGCCACACTATCCGTCGAGGTCATGTTCTCGAGTCGGTCCAAGGCGGAGTCGCGTCGTTTGCGAGCGTCGTTGAGTGCTTTGCTCGGCGGCAGGTTGGCTGCAGTTGGTGCGGATGATATACGCGCGGATCTACGCCTCTGGCTCGCCGCATTCTTTTCGCGATCACTGACATTATAGATGTCGCTGCTTGGAGCGGTAGGCTGGGGCTCGGTCTCGACGGCGGGTGCGGCAGCGGGAACTGCTGTTGGTGCTGCAGCGCGCTTGGGCGCAGCCCGACGAGGAGGGCGTGGCATTGG